AACTAAACATGTCTCATTAATGTACGCTTGTATGAGTGGTTACATAGCTTGAGATCGAGTCAATAACGATTGTGCTTCATTGTTGCGTCGTTGTCGCTGTACTAAAGTAACAAAATTAGTTCTGCAATATTACATTTCGCCTCGATCGCTAATCGTTTAGTAAAAGGTAGTTTTAGTCAGTTATAACTTCACATCAATGATATGTCTGCGATATAGCCGTGATTTTGTCATATTGATGCATTCACACGCGGCAATTTGTAAACCACCTATATTGTGCCATCACCAGACTTTAATCTGTTAAACATATGATGTTTATCGAACTAATTCTGTGTTAGTTAAGATCTGTTGGACGGAATTCAACGCAGATATTACTGTTGGATTCGTTTCCATTATCGGGTATCATTGCTAGATATTATGTGTATTTTGTTATCTTTAAGAATAGGACTACCATCGATTTCAATAACACCCTTTAAGATGGTCCGTTGGTTTTTTGCAGAATTGGATAATTTCGGTGCAAAGATTTTGTCACTAAGCTACTTAACATCGCCATTGCGTCTCCTTGGGTTGATTTAGCATGATGACGGAAGGTTTGCAGCCAAATCACGCAATTCAAGTAATAACCGACCTCATCATTCAAAAAATCAGCTGAAATTCTTTTTACATTTCGATGCTTATTTTAAAGAATGTTCAAATTCTGCAAAGACACATAACAATCTTGATATTTGTGTATAATTTTCAAACTGTAATGTCATCGGTCTATAGTGCACTTATTAATTGAACTTTGTTGATTTTGATCCCGTTCTCTGCTAGCAACCAAGCTACGATCTTTGTCCAGATTTAAGAACAAATACTAATAAACAGCACCTGATAATACTTAATGAAATCTACCGTGATCTAAACTAAAGCACTGCTTATTCCTGTACGTTGCAATGCATTCACAATTTAGCGTTACAAGCTAATCTTTTCAGAGAATCATCCAAATGTTTTCGTACAACACTTTGTCATTGATAACCACTTGTATTCGCAAGTAATCTCGCGCAGTATCGTCCTTGTCTAGAAAACAGGGATGCACAATAGCTCACCATCAATTTTACTTTAATGCAATCTTCAAATTGCAAGCCAGAGAAACGATAGGGAGTAGGACAGAAAAGTAGTAAACTGTTTATTTTCTAAGCTACAGCGTTGTTTTGCGAATACGCGGCATCACAATTCAACTAAGTTGGTCCACATGGATAAACCATCCTTCACACACGAACTGGAGGTTAATATTCAAGCGGATGTGCCAAAATGAATGGCAATTTAACCAAATCTATCCATATTGTCTACTGGTTCATCATCATCATACACGTTAGCCAGAGGTTGGGAACACCACAGCTACTGTGCCGCAATACAGAGAAAATAAGGAGAAACAATGCAACTGGTGCAAGCCTGCTGAGATACCGGTAACGGATGGGCATCGTTCCGGTAAGTTACCAACCGGCTACTGTGTATTAAGAAAAATTACTATGCAAAATTTTGTAAGGCTAAAAATGTGATCGTTGTTGGAGGGGGAGGCTAAGTGGGAAGGGGTGGGACAATGAAACTCGAGCACGAACGCCACTGAGGTCGGCTCCTAGCCATATCAGCAAGTGTGACCAACCAAACGTGTTCATCGTCTTTCGGACCCCAACCAGGGAACCGAGACGCTCCTACCGAGGCCAGCTCAGAAGTGATGGCCTTCATTCCTATGGACCAAGTCATCGCTTGGCCGCACTCCTCTTCTCCCAACCACACCACGGGCGCGCAAACAACGCATGTCGCGGGAGTCGGTGGGCTGGCATGCGTAACACGTGGCCAAGCCATCGGAGCCTGGTGCGTGAAATAACGGTGCTGAGCGGTTCATTTCCCTTTCCTGTGCCTTAAACAAAGCGTCGAACACGCTCGTTGCTCACGCGGTGTTCCCACCAGATGTGAGCTAAATTACGAAGGCACCGGTGGTCGAACGTAACCAGTAACTTCAGGTCCGCTGCCTTAAGCGTCCAGGTTTCACAACCGTACAGTAGGGTCGAACGTACAACTACATTGTAACTCTACCCTTCAGGGCAAGAGTGATGTCGCGCCGGCGCCATAAGTGGCGAAAATTAGCAAAAGCGCCCCGAGCTTTTGCTATACGGTTCGTGATTTCATCTTCAATCCCACGGGCGCTGATACAACTTCCCAGGTAGTTGAATTTCTGAACGACTTCTAGCTGATCCCCATCAAGGGTCAGCGTAGGAGGCGGTCCAGACCAATATTGGAGGAACGCTTTGCACTTCGAGGGTGCGAAGCAAAAGCCCGAGGTGATGGACAGCTAGTGCTAATCTGTCCAGTGCCGCTTGGCACGTTTGTGAGCTGTCACAGATCAGGGCAATATCATCAGCATACTCTAAGTCAAGAAGTCGTTCTCCTGGGAGTAGCTCCACACCTTCTAAGTCGTGTCCTGTGAACGCGATTTCCATGACTTCGTCAACAGCGAAGTTGAAGAGGAAAGGTGACAGCGAGCATCCTTGTCTCACGCCGCTGGAGATATTAAAGGGCGACGACAACTTGCCGTAAGCCCTCACACTGCCTGAGCTACGCGCATATAATGCTCGGATAATATTCACTTATTTCTCAGGTACACCTTTCCTGAGTAGACAGTCCCGAAGTGCATGTCTATACACCGAATCGAATGCACATTTGATATCAAGCAACACGACAACGGTGGGCCGCCAATATATGTGACGGCGCTTCAACAACTGACGCAAAGTGAAGATGTGGTCAATGCAGCCACGACCTCGACGAAATCCAGCTTGCTCTTCACGAATCTGGCTTTCACGAGTGCCAGTCAGTCTGTGAAGGATGACATAGGCAAGCAATTTGGAGGCGATGGAGATCAGACTAATTCCTTTATGGCTGCCGCATTCCGATCGTGAGCCTCCTTTGAAAATTGGGACTATGACGGAGCGGCTCCAATCGGCTGGGACAGTTTCCTGCTTTCACAGTTTGACTAGTAACTCGTGTAAATCATCCACAAGAGCAGGTCCCCCGAATTTGAAGAGGGCTGGAGGAAGATCACCCTGTCCCGCGGCTTTATTTACCTTCAACCGTTCGATCTCACGTTCGACTTCTGAGCGAGAGGGTGGATCCAAAGGGACAGCCCAGGGAGCGGGGCGGTCAGTGGCCGGCGAGAAATCTAACCATTCGGACCGATTGAATTGGCTTTCAAATTGCTCAGCCTAACGCTCTAAGCGTTTTGATAAGTTGTGGATAGGCTGTCCACTCTCGTCACGCATAGTTTCACTAACACCAGGTCTTCTGCTGCCCGATTCCCGTATCAGACGGAATAACTTACGATGGTTACTAACGGCACCGGCCATTTTCACCTCTGATGCACGATGAGACCACCAGGATTCGCGGTCTCTCTTCAGGCTAGCACGGAGTGTTACCCGGAGCTCTTTGCGAGTTTTATTGTTTTCGCTTCCAGCCGGAATATGCCGGCGGGCATCTATAAGTCCCAGAGACTGTGAAGAGACCCAATGTTCATGTTGGTGATTAGACATACCACATGAGGATTTTCCTGCTGCTGGTAAGGTCTGGTGAATATGAGACCAGTGACCTTCAACTGCATCCAGCGAGCCTTTATCCAACTTGCATAACAGCGTACTTTATACGCATTCAGAACAGCTGGCTTCCCCAGTTGGCTGGTGTCAATGTGCTCACAACGTCCTCGTGGGCGTCCGCCAAAGCGCATCCGCGTGCCAGCACATACAAATGCATGGTTGGTGTCCACACTTGTGCTCCAAATCGAGCGACAGTTGTTGACGCAGCCTCTCCATCGGTAACTTATCGCAATGTGATCGATTTGCGTCCATAGCTGGTTCGAGGTTGGTGGGCGCCAAGTCACCCTCCGGCAGGTGCTGTGTCGGAAATTAGTGTTCCCAAGTAATAAGCGACCATCCTCACCCAAATAAAATAATCGCTCAATGTTATCATTACGGAAGCCTATATCATGTTGGCGGCCCATATGCAGCTCATCTGTGGATAATATTCCAACTTGAGCGTTCAGATCCCTAGTCAGCACTAGAGTGTCTGAGTTTCTTCTGTGGCGAAGGAGTTCGTTCAGTTGACGATAGAAGTCATCTTTTACCGAGTCATCTCTACAGTTTGTCGGTGCATAGGCAGCGATAACGAATAGACACCTGTTAGTCCCACGCGACTTCGAAGTTTTGAACGAGCCAGCCAATCTGACCGCACACATCCGGCTACTGATTGGAATCCAGTCGACCAGAGCAGCTTCAGCCCGGTTACTCAGGGCAATACTAACACCAGCTTGGCCGGTTCTCGAAGCTGCATCGTCACCGGATAGGCGCAATGAGAAAGTGCTGCTTGTGTCACCTGAAGGGGATTGCAGAGTGAGTACAGAGCTCGAGTCTTGCAGGCGGGTCTCCGATTAGCAGCAGATTTCAATCGAGATGGTCTGTAATGTTCGGGCAACTGCTGCCTGTCAACCGATCTGAAGCAATGTGCGAACATTGAGGCATGCCAATCTGAATAAAATGTAATGTAATGAATAGAATGTAATAGTGGTATTAAATGCATCAACAAACGCCGTTCAGTCTACATTTAATTAAACTGAAAATTTCGTGGGAGTAGTTAACAGAAAAACACGTTTGCGAACAAGATTCTTTTCAATGCCTTTTATGAAGCCAATACACACAAGTAATTGACACAGGCGTGGAAAATCAACGATCTGAGCTCGTGCTATTTGCTGAAGTTTCCATTCCCGTCGCTTATCCTTGATGCATTCGCCTGATGAGGAAGTAAGCAAACAGCTTATCAGCTAATTTTGTTTCCAATGTTTCCAGCAGTAAAACTGGGATTTTGCCACACATATTTAATTAAACAAAGCTTATCTATTTGGCACTGTACGTAGTTATAAATGAGTCATTATCTATGTACAAGCTAATTCAATTCCACGCTTTACCTTCATTTTCTCTTAGTTGCACGCATTGTGGCTAACCATCCAGCAAGACACATTTGGATTATTCTATTAATGCAATGCACAAAGAGTTTAACCTGATCCACTTTTGAGGAGACCCAACTTACCTTCGTCGACGGTGAACGTAGATATGAAAACGTTATTTTCTTCAGACTCTGCGTTGAAAGCTACGAACATGTGTCTTCTATTCTGGCAATGCACAGAGAGTGCGTTAATCAAACGAAACTCGGTGGATTATCTAGTCCTTTTGCGATTTCTGAAAAACAAACTAGTAAACGTAATGCGTCCTTTTATCGAGTTATCTTTTTGGTCCTACACAAAATATTCGTCTGTGTAACGTAATACAAAACCCAATGTTTTCCCCCATAAAACCGTATAGCAACATCTTTAAATATCCCAAAAAATTCAGTAAAACCCTCGAATTGGGCAACATGTCCACAACTGAAAAGGCCAGATATACATTTCAGACCAATGAAATACAAAGACACAATCCTTTTGCTTCAATTTAAGATAATTTGTTATGTCATCACCACTATTCTCAGATTGTATGGGCAAAGCAAAATGCATACATAGCCCTCTTACGAGCCATCCTAGGAGAGTCTAACTATCGGTATCATGTGTTGGCACGGTGGTTAGTAGAACTACTGGAATCCCCAGGGAGGGATCTAGCGACGCACAGTATGAGCAGCACTTTTTACTACGTCTAGATTATTGTAACTTAAATAGCGGATGACTGACAGTTATTTTGCTTCATACGGTGTCATTGTGTACCGATATCCGTGTTAGATGGACTATAGATTACGTTAGCGAATCCATCAAGCACCTGGAAGGACACATCTATTGTCGATCGAAAAACTGCTTTGAATAAAAGCTTCATCACTGTGCTCCTAATAACAATAAACATTGAGTTTCTACGGATTAAGAAGTATTAGTTTGCAAGCCCCGTTGAGTAGTCTGATGGGTTAAGGAAAAACGTTGATGAAACAGCAGTTTGTAGTTTTACTGTTAAAATAATGGAGTTATCGCTTTTGATTCAGTAACACTGCACTCCGAGCGTTTCCATAACTTTAATAGGCGAAAAATACCAATTGCGAGGTATTTCCCGGAAGTAGGATGGACTGCAGTGTGAAGTAGGAAAACCTTATTGGCGGAGTGCGTCATCCAACTGACTTTTAAATATGGCTAGGCTGGGTGCTGAAACAACAGATTCAGGAAGAGCGTTCCATGGTTGACGCACACGAAGGGAAAAGAGGTTTCGACAACACAAAAGGCGGCTATATTGTTCTGCTAACTTCAAGGAGTGAACTCTAACTTTGATGTTACTGCTCAGTTGTAGTAAAGGGCGGCACTCATGATTTCGGTTGTGTAAAATTAAATACGCCATAATCAAGTCGCCTCGTAGTCGGCAATACCGCCCGCTGAATACTCCCAATCTTTGCAGCCTCTGCTCGTACCGAAGGTGGCGCATTCCAGTGATGTATTTAGAAGCCCGACCTAATGTTGGTCCAGTGTAGTAAGGCCATACTTCAGCTATGGCTGCTAGGCCTGAGTATCCGACATGGGGACGAATATGCGCATTCAGCATCTGTCTGAAATTAGTGGAGTCTAGTTGTCTAAACGCCCGTCGTGCTGGTGACCAGTTTTCGAGGACTTTGCGAATTGCTTGGAACGACCCAAGTTATTCAGAACAAGCAAGTCATGGCCGCGTTAGAAGAAAGACCACTGCAGTACTTGCGATCTTAGTTTGTAAGAATAGGTACTCTGGTGTCGTATGGAATATACCTTGCTTTTGATTAAGTCGAAATGTAACTGATTTCGTGTTAACCAATCATGTACCGTATCTTGGTCACATTAAAGTAAATTCTAATCGGCATCCTCCTGAATCCTGCGCCTTATCTTGATATCGTCAACAAACAGTAAGTAATTTAAAGCGATATTCCGTACAAATTCATAGCTGTATACCAAAAACCTCCGTGTACCTAGAACAGAGCCGTAAGGCACACCAGACTCGACTGATGTGGATTCAGATAGGTAAATCCGGACTCTCACCACTGATTGTCGTTGCTCGAGAAGCGTGGCGATTCAGCTCAAGTGAGGGTCATCGATCGCGTAATATTGGAACTTGGAAAGGAGAACCTGATTATCTACACGATCGAACGCCTTCGACTACTCCAAGTAGATTACATCAACAGCCAATGCATCTTAGCTGACTCGATCCAAATGCTCCGCGCGATTAATAATTTCGTCTTTCACGATCGCTATCGACGGAGGTCGTGTTGCTCGGGAGCAATGAAGTTATACTTTGCTAGATAACGCACCAACGCAACAGCAAATTTGATTCTACGACTTTGAATAATACAGCGAGGAGGACACTGGGTAGTAGTTTGAGAGTTCAGTCCTGCTTTCTCCTTTGTGAATCGGAGTTATTATTCCAGGTTTACACATCACAGGAATCTGTTTCTTGTTTAAGCAACGCAAGAAGTACTGTGCTAAAGGTTTTGCCAGTTGTCTTGCTATGGCTCCCAGTGCCTTTCGGCGAATGGTGTCGACACCGGCGACATTCGCTTCCGGAAAACAGCTTCGGCATTGAAATATATGTGGGTGAGTTCTGTTGTCAGGAAAACGAAAGTTGGAAGAAGTCCTGATGCTAAGACCTTCTGAAATGTGGGAGCATATTGTGTCCGCAACGCGTTTGCTGCTTGTATGGCTGTTCTAGTTGGACCATCGTTCGTCTAGAGAAAAGGAGTTCCATGCCTCAAGTTACCACGTCTATCAAAATACTTATACAGCAGCCTGTGATTAGTGCTGGATGTTTTCGCCATATTCTGCTGATATGCGACTTTGTCAACCCTGAACATTCAATCGCAATGGTTATGATGGGCTACGTAGTTGTTCAATTATCTGATGTTTGTGAACATCTGTACTCTTGCCAGGCTGCTTTTCGTATACTCATCCACTTCCTTGTTTTGCTCCTTATGAAAAAAGTCGGTTTGGGCTAAATAAAAAGCTCCGTCAATGAGGAATCCAAAAATAGTTGTTTGCATTTGCTGGGAAATTCAAACCAACCGACTTCCGGATGGTCATCCGCGAGGAACGGCCACGTTGTGGCACTGACGGGCTGGGCTAAGCTTTTGTAACGAGTAATGATGCACACCAACATAGGGTTTTCTTAGCGATATTCCGCATAGCAGATGAAGTCGAAACTGATCAGTTCATGACCACTGCAACCCAAAGGTCATTCTACGAGCAATACATTAATCATATGTTACTTGCTGGTTCAAATAAAATCCAGCAAATAAAATCTATTACCTGTTCTACAACGAGTGAGCGTAATGACGTGGTTGTAAAGTGGAACACTGGTCATAAGCTCTTGCAGAATTGCGTTGTATGGCTCTCCGATTAGATCAGGAGTTTCTAAACACTGTGCCTTGAAGTCATTATGATCTATCTGTGTGTTGTCGTTTTAGGTTGAACCATAAAACTGTGGCAGGTTGGCAGACCATT